TTCTATAAGGGGAGCCAAAGATATAAATGTTTAATGAAGTATTGCTTTACGGCAAGACATATTACCTGAGCAAGTCACTCACAAAAAAAATAATTGCATTGTAAATATCACTGAAGTACTAAGAAACAAATAAACTGTTGACAGTATAAACCTCTTGTATAGGTAAAATGATCAGTGACGCACCCTTCATTGTTTCCGCGGTGGCCGAGTGGTTAAGGCGTCTGACATTCTTCTATCACTTGCCCTCCACCAATTGTCCATTGGGTCGCGGGCTAGAGGCCTACGTGGGGCAGTTTGCCAGGTACTGCCAGCAGGTCGGGGGTGTTCTTTCCTCCACCACCAAAGCCCGACACGTCCTTAAATGACCATAGCTGTTAACAGGACGTAAAACACAAACAAACCAAATCGTTATTTTATCTTTAGAAATGTTATTCACGATGGTACATGTACATGTATAGTATGACCTATCCCGGGTCTCTCCGGTAAAAGATGTACAGATGCATTTGTATGCCATGGTTTTGCAAGTGAAAATTTAACGCGGTAGAGGGGAGATTACTTTATTAATGTAATGTCTTAAATCTATAATGAAAATTATACCTGGTAGGTCAGTCTGTGTTGAGTTTTTACTTTAGCAGGGCAATATACAATATAATATCCAACATCCTTCACGAAGTCTTTCCTAGGATTTCAAGTTCATTCTTTAGATATCATTAAGTTGAAATATACACTATACTGCTTCGTGTAAGCAAGTATGAATGACACACATCGCTAGTTTTTCTTAACGCTTATGAGACCTACGGTTGACATCTTCATAAACCGTGACATGTTCTTCTGCAAAGGTGAAAAAAAAACCATCGCGGAAACGATAACCTCGTGACACCAATTATGAGGTCGTACGATATAAATCGCTTGTTTCATATACAGTTTAGTCACAACTTGAGCCCTCATAACTTTTCTATTGAATTATGATTTGTTTGACACGACGCAAGGGAAAATTCATTGAAGATTCAAATCGATAAATAAATTGTGGACAAAATAAAATGAGTTAGTTGTAATCTGTTTTGTAAACAAGAGGCCCAAGAGAAAACAACTGTATCGCTCACCTGAATATTTAAGCAGTCATAGCAAAATATAATCATTAAATACTATATTGCACTACAAATATTTCCCTCGCAAACTTTGTTGGCTCTATCTGTTAAAACTACCAGCAAAATATTAATATAAGATTCTATGCTTTTTATTCTTCTTCGTGAGTTGCTTGCTATATTTTCCCCCGTGACCTTGTAAGTAGGTCGATGTCAATTTCCTTCTCAAATTGGTTAGCTCTATTCCAAAATGCTACCAGCCAAATCTTATGAATCCATTCCTTTTAGTTCTTGAGAACAAATCCTTTAAAATGTTGTTGACCTCTAAAGTAGGTTAAGGTCATTTTCATTCGCAAACTTTGGTGAGCTCTATCCCAGGAAGTCATCAGCCAAATATTATAATTTTATGAATTTTAATTCTTCAGAAGAAGTAGTTTGAACCGTTTGACATATTTGAACGCTGTGACCTTGAAAGTAAGTCAAGATCATTTTCATTCGCAAACTTTGTTGGGCTCTATCGAAGGAATACATCAGCCAAATATAAAGATTCTATACCTTTCAGTTCTTCAGAAGAAGTCGTTTGAAGTTTTTGACATATTTGACCCCTGTGACCTTGAAAGTAAGTCAAGGTCATTTTCGTTCCTAAACTTTGTTACGCTCTATCCCAGGAAGCCACCAGCCAAATATAAAGATTCTATACCTTTCAGTTCTTCAGAAGAAGTCGATTGAAGCATTTGACATATTTGACCCCTGTGACCTTGAAAGCAGGTCAAACTAATTTTCATTCTCAAACTTTGTTGGGCTCTATCCAAGGAATACATCAGCCAAATATAAAGATTCTATACCCTTCAGTTCTTCAGAAGAAGTCGATTGAAGCATTTGACATATTTGACCCCTGTGACCTTGAAACCTTGACAGTAGGTCAAGGTCATTTTCATTCTTACTCTTTGATGAGCTCCATCAGCCAAATATAAAGAGTATATACCTTTCAGTTCTTCAGAAGAAGTCGTTTGAAGTTTTTGACATATTTGACCCCTGTGACCTTGAAAGTAGGTCAAGGTCATTTTCGTTCTTAACTTTTGTTAGGCTCTATCCCAGGAAGTCACCACCCAAATATAAAGATTCTATAGCTTTCAGTTCTTCAGAAGAAGTCGTTTGAAGTGTTTGACACATTTGACTGCTGTGACCTTGAAAGTAGGTCAAACTTATTTTCATTCTCAACCTTTGTTGGGCTCTATCCCAGAAAGCCACCAGCCAAATATAAAGATTCTATACCTTTCAGTTCTTCAGAAGAAGTCGTTTGAAGTGTTTGACACATTTGACTGCTGTAACCTTGAAAGTAGGTCAAGGTCATTTTCGCTCACAAACTTTGTTGGGCTCCATCCCAGGAAGCCATCAGCCAAATATGAAGATTCTATACCTTTTAGTTCTTCAGAAGAAGTCGTTTGAAAGTTTTTGACATATTTGACCCCTGTGACCTTGAAAGTAGGTCAAGGTCATTTTCGTCCTCAAACTTTGTAGGGCTCCTATCAACAAAGATTTCAGCCAAATATCATGACTCTAGGTATGTCCATTCTTCAGAAGAATTTGTTTAAAGGAAAAGTTGACAGACGAGGATGGACGACGGACGCCGCACCATGACATAAGCTCACTTGCCATTCAGGCAAGTGAGCTAAAAACAGTATTTGGCTTTAAGTTTTCTTCAAAATATTTCCAAATCCTGGACAATTTAGATTGTTTTTATTAATTTGTAACTGGAACAACAAATTAGGCTTGAGCGCAAAATTCAATCTTGAACACGAGAACAGTTTAATGATAACAGGCCTTGGTTTCTGTGCGGTATGACTTCAGTAACTTTTGTTTTTCTGTGATGCTTTGTGGTTTCTTGTTTGGAGAAACAAGACCTTTGTCGGTTCTAAATTTTGTTTCTCATTATAAAATTCAGGTTAGAAAATGAAAGTTCCTAGGGTTTCTCTAAACTCAAGTTGAAAGGTTTCGTTGAACTCGAATTGATTCATATTGTTCTTTGCTTTGATCGATTTCCTTCGTATGTCACGAGCTGTTTCTCTTGTTCTTGTTTTGTCGAATTTTATAAATGCCTCATTGCCTCAAGATTAAGTGATTCAAAAGTATTGAGGTTATAACACGTATTCATAAACATTAACAAATGTTTATCTAAAAGTTGGGAGTTACTTCCCTTGAACTATAACTTCTGAGACTTATTTTCCTCATTGTGTTCAGTCAGCTGAGAAGTTTTAAATATATATCGACCTGAAATTGATTTTATCATTTAGTACAGAAATAAGAAGATAAGTACAGATATTTTGTATCCTGAAACTTGAATGTCGGTCATTTGATCTGCAAAACATCCTCATGCATTCATTCTCACAACAAAGTCAGCCAAATAGATTTGGAATATATCATGATCAGCCATTCCCAGTTCACCGTGGCCATTTTGAATCCTGAATTAAAAAAGATGGTTGTTTAACATAAAGAAAATCCAAATATCTGACCACAATGACCTGTCTTATTGATCTTTAATTGCCAGAGTTAACGTTATGATAAACAAGTCTATATTCAGTTAGAGAGTATAAAAAGAGTATAAAATGTTCACCGACTCTTAGCATGTTTATCCAGCCTTATAATTTGATCTTCAATTGAAAGAATGGTTAATAAGGGTTTTTTCGCACTAATTATTTTAAAGCCTGTTTGTACATTTGTACAATTACAATACATTAACATGAAATATACCTACACTCTCTCACACAAACAATTACACATCTTCTCATGGTTCAGCATACATATTTAACACTCATCATCTTCATCATTATTTAAACGCAACATCATGACAATCATCACTCTTTATCATCATCAAAACAACAACGAAATGTTAAAATAATAATTATAATTGTTCATAATCATTAGGGCACTTGGTCCTCATAGTCATACCCATCATCATCGATCCCAACCGAAACCATCATCATCATCATCATCATGTCATCATCATCATCAACATCATCATTATCATCATCATCACCACCACCATCATCATCATCATCATCATCATCATCATCACAACAATCATAATTTTTACACTTAGTGTTAAACACAAAGCTAACTTTCGACAATTGTTTAAGTAAGAAGAGTTCATATCGTAATTTAACTACTTGAAGGTTAAAATTATTGGTACATTTGAGAAATTATGAAAGTATTAAAAACTTAACATTGCATTCATTGGATATTTTCAGTACGGTCATTATATAGAGATTTCATTTGATTTTTAACAATAGTAATGAACGTCATGGCGAATCCAATTGGTAAAATATATGCTGAGATACTCCATACGGATTAATGACATCTGGCCTGCTGTACTGCTGTCATTGATTAATGAAACAGGTCAAATTGTCGATTTTGTTTCAGAGTGTAAAATGTATAAACAAGTTAATATTTGACACATTTTTTAATTACATATTACCTTACACACGAACATTTCATAAAAGGTGTAAAGGCGGTCAAAAACGGGGCAAACGTAATAAAGTATCTAGAGATATACTGTGTTTCGCATTTACTGATTATACATGTATATATATTCTATTTTCTTTGCTCTGCTGTCCTCTATTTGGGGACACAAAAGCGACAAAAATAAATCTAATCCACCCATTGCAATATTTAGGATCTTTATCTTTCTTTCAACTTCTATCTACCTTTTATTTCCTAGCACCGTTCTTGGCAACACCTCACTTTTGGCCTTAATGTTGAGTGTTCGCCCAGGTGAGGTACAAATGTAGGCAATGAATTCTGTCCCCAGGCCGGGACATACCATTGTCCTTACAAATGGTAGTTGTTATTAACGTTCAGCATTTAGGGGAATGGCGACAACTGGTTCATCCTTTGTCAGTATGATGTGACCTGGCAGAATGCTGTGCTAGGTGCCTTCTGCATGGCATTTCAGTGAGATAGTACTATAAAGTCAGCATCAGATCTCGCTATCATAAGGAGGGAAGAAAACCAACATACCCCGTCTCCAGCATACACACACGCAAACACGCATATAAACTACACACATGCATGGAGGCACGTACGAAAATAACCTTAGCTGTTACTAGGACGTTAAACAGAATTTAACCAAACCAAAGCAATCCTGATAAAAATTGGTAAATTTTATTGACCAGCTTTCCTATTAAGGTGAATATATCATTCTGTGTATTTCAAATTGTGTCGGTTATATGGTGGATTATGTGTAAACTTTGATTATTAGTGTATTCATTAAAAGTATACATTGTAACAAATGTCTAAATCGATGACCTCACATAGTTAATTCAATTTACATATACTGGTTGGTGACTGTCTCAAGGCAAAACCCATAACTGTATTGTTGTTATTGAGATGTGAAAGTAAAAATAACATTTCATATGAAACAAATATTCAATCTGCCATTTTTGTTGTTGTTATTGAGATGTGAAAGTAAAAATAACATTTCATATGAAACAATTATTCAATCTGCCGGCCTTACATTAACAGTCATGCCGAAGTTGTATTCTATCACAGACTATGTGATGCTTCTTCTTAAAGCATCAAGCTCCGATTCAAGTGATCTGATTTTGTCCTTTTGTTGTTTCAGTTTTTGTTGAAGCATGCCATATGACACTGTAACAAGTGGAGTCCTTCTATGCAGACTGTCAGACTTTGCTGATTTTGACACGAACAGCCCATGATTGTACTCCCTGTCCTGCAAGGCTTTTCGGAATGATGCACAACTTGCACAGCTTGCACAGCTTGCACCTTCTACCAGCAAACAACACTTCACTGACCGTACTGTAGAGTTATACGAAACGTCTCCCCGACTGGCACAGAAGTCACCCTCGCGATATGCCCAAATTGATAGCGAGTTTGAATCGGTGAGAACAGATCCCACAGGAATTAGGTCTTGTAACTCCACATCCGGATTGCCAATACACACACTGTATTTACATAAACATCTCAAAAGTCCATGTACTGCTGACACTGAATCGTAGATAGCTGGCAAACCACTCCAAAGTTCATGTTCCCGAGATATGTCACTTCCGTGGACATTCACGGTTGCGGTGAAATCTTCTTTGATGGTTACACAAGTCTTCACAACAGATCTGTTGCCACTCCGATACAGCTGTAGCAGGTGAATGTTTTTGTGATGAGGATCTAGTAAAAAGGGGGGGTCTATACCAGTGGATAAATTGTTTCGAAGTGATGTGTAACGATCCAAAAGATGAATACCAGTTTCACTTAATGGTATGCTATTCACATTCACATCTGTGTTAGGAGTTAAGCTGGGGGGCTCCATTTTAACTGGCACATTGCAAGAAACGTCCTGATGGGTGTTGTGTGGCGGGGTAGTGGGCTCCATTTTAATGGGCACATTGCAAGCAACGTCCTGATGGGTGTTGGGTGGTGGGGTAGTGGGCTCCATTTTAATGGGCACATTGCAAGCAAAGTCTTGATGGGTGTTGTGTGGTGGGGTAGTGGTTTCTGTGTCCAGGGACACATTGCAGGCCACGTCCTGATGGGTGTTGTGTGGTTGGGTAGTGGGCTCTGTGCCCATGGACACATTGCAAGCAACGTCCTGATGGGTGTTGTGTGGTGGGGGAGTGGGCTCTGTGCCCATGGGCACATTGCAGGCAACGTCCTGATGGGTGTTGTGTGGTGGGGTAGTGGTTTCTGTGTCCATGGACACATTGCAGGCCACGTCCTGATGGGTGTTGTGTGGTGGGGTAGTGGGCTCTGTGCCCATGGACACATTGCAGGCCACGTCCTGATGGGTGTTGGGTGGTGGGGTAGTGGGCTCCATTTTAATGGGCACATTGCAAGCAAAGTCTTGATGGGTGTTGTGTGGTGGGGTAGTGGTTTCTGTGCCCATGGACACATTGCAGGCCACGTCTTGATGGGTGTTGGGTGGCGGGGTAGTGGGCTCCATTTTAATGGACACATTATAAGCGAAGTCTTGATTGGTGTTGGGTGGTTTGCTAGTGGACTCTGTGTCCATGGACACATTGCAGGCAACATCCTGATGGGTGTTGGGTGGTGGGGTAGTGGGCTCCATTTTAACGGACACATTATAAGCAAAGTCTTGATGGGTGTTGGGTGCTATGCTGAAAGGCTTGGTGTCAATACACTCATCGCAGGCCACGTCCAGAGTTGCAGGATGAAACATTGGGGTATCCATGTGGCAGGTCACATACATTGTGGAAGTTGGGTCCTGTTGCGGACAAACCTCCTCAAGATAAACAGGTGTTGGTGTAACTAGTCTTGAATGAGGATGAGCGTCACAAGGGTTGGTTTGCGCCTTCTTTGCTGCATATTCCATACGTCTGATGAAACTCTGTTTGGCTGTTGATTTGTTTTTGCGAGTTGTCAGTCTACTTTTTTTCTTCTTCTTTGGCATGCTGAAATTAGAAAAGATACATCAATTAAGTCTTATTCCAGAATGCTATTCTTTTCAATTTTAGGCCAGACAAAAAAAATTGTTTTGTTTTCTGTAACATTTTGGAAAAATTTAGGGTAGGTAGGTAGGTAACAAATTTTATTTTAACATATAATTTTAAATGGTTTATACAGGAAAGGGATTTGGACCTAACAGTGCTTCTTTAAAAATTGGCTTAAAAAGTTTAGGGTAGGCACGAAATAATAAGGTAGGTAGGGTTACCGGAAACACCAAAATATTTTTTGTTTTGCCTAATACAGGATTACCCAATCCTGTTTTTTTTATATTTACTGCAGTATATGTTTAAACTGACATAAATTATGTCAGGGTCATTGACATCATTATAAAAAATCATAATTTAGGATTCAGGTTTTGCTAATATTTACATTTCTGTTATATATAGTCTTAGGTAAACCTGAATCATGATGTGACGCCAGATTGAAATTATATCAGAAATTCAAATGGAGTTTGATCTCCAAGTGAAAGAATGGTTACTAAGTAGATTTGTTCATGCTAATTTTCTACAATTACAATACATTAACATGAAATATACCTACACTCCTCACACAAACAATTACATATCTTCTCATGGTTCAGCATACATATTGAACACTCATCATCTTCATCATAATTTAAACTCAACATCATGACGATAATCAATATACCCTTTATCATCATCAAATCAACAAGAGGTCCAGATGGCCTGTATCACTCACCTTTTTCCTTTGTTACATGAAACTGACATATAGGTAACTTAAGACCAAATTTGGTAACAAGAACACAAGACAATTTAACATCTCTTAAACGCTTCTCAAGATATTGCTGTTTGAAATTTGAAATTGTTATTTTAAAGCTTTTAACCCCATTTGACATTTGACCTCGCTTTTGTAATTAAGAAAAAGATTCGCACTGCTGGTCTTCATAACATATTCAAGTATCATGACTATACCAAATGCTTCTTAGGATATCGTGGTTTGAAGTGTTTTTTTACATTTTTGACTCATGTGACCTTGAAAGTAGGTCAAGGTAATTTTAAAGAGAAAACTGTATAGCACTCTATCCCTGGTACCTACTGGCCAAATATTATGACCTTATGGAACTTGAGAAGAAGATTGTTAAAGCTTTAAACCCATGTTGACTTTTGACCCCCATCTAGCACTTAAAGTTGACCTTAAACCTCATTACTGTGAATATGGAAAAATATTTGCACTGCAGGTCTACACAACATTACTAAGTATCATGACTCTAGTCCAAATGGTTCTTAGGATATTGTTGTTTGAAGTTTTTAACATATTTGACCTGTGTGACCTTTAAAGTAGGTCAAGGTCCTTTTAATGAAGAAACTTTATAGCACTCTATTCCAGGTACCTACTGGCCAAATAGCATGACCCTAGGTCCTCCAGTTCTTCAGATGAAGTCGTTTAAAAGAAAAAGTTGACAGACGGGCGCTGGCATGAGCTCACATGGCCATTGTATAAATGACTTTTTGGGATTTAGAATTATTTTTGGTACAAATGTAAGAGTTGTCTCTCTTTTTTCTTTAGTTTTTTTTTACATTTTGTCACCTATATTTTCTTTTTGTTGTCCTAAATGTGTTGCATTGGATTCATGTAATGGGCATTTTTGTTTGTTTTAGTGTTATTGTTAGAAAATTACTAATTTTTTTTGTATTTTGTTCATCAATATTGACATTGTCATTTTTTTATGTGTTATATTTCTAATAAACCATTGTTGCATCAAATAATATATATTTTGTTTCACTTCGTTCAATCAAAATTTCATAATTTCCCAAGAAGCTCTCGCAAGGTATGGGTTCTTGTTCACAAATGATTGGCTTATGCAATAGTGATGCCGTAGAAAAACAAGAGGCCCAGAGGGCCTGTATCGCTCACCTGCGCTCACCTGGAAATACTAGCAAAATCGAAGTTAGAATAGCATGATGCTACTGGAAGTGTACATGTATTACATGGTTAGTCAGGGGTTATATTGATATGCAATTGGACAAAATCTTGTCATTCCTAAAATAAAAGGAGGATATCGAAGAATTAGCTTTGTTTCCCCTATTGGGCCCCACCCCTCTGTTCCCAGGGGGGGTCAGACCCATCGTTGATACAAAATTAGATCCCCTTCACCCAAGGTAGCAGGGTCAACTAAAAATATAAAGTAATTCTTTCACCAATGAAAAAATGTTTTTTAAATACTTCATGGGTCAATTAATTGAAGAGTAAGCCATGTTTTTACTGGTTCCTGAACAATTGTATGCTATTAATAATTCATACTTTTTGAGGTCAACTGTAAACTCAAGGGAAACAATCAATATCTAGTACTGAAGTAAAATCACAGCAAGGTAGACAACCCTTACAATATTGTCATCCTAAAGTAAAGTATAGTTTATTTCTGAAATCTCAACATTTAGAATTTGGTCAATATATAGACATTTACTAACCCTACATCATTTTTTTTGTGGAGAACGACTATAGCAAAGGGGAGGCAACTCATACACAAACTGAAGTTGTGGCCAACATGCACGAACAAATCACATTAAAAACAACCTGTAAATTATCTACGACCTCTTACCAGTTGAAGTCAGCTAAGGGAAGCTAACTACTCGAATAAAATGATGAAAAATAAAAATGCGGATGTCTTGGGGCAACGCCATCGAGATTAGGATGAAAAGTGTGTTATTTTTTATACTTTAAAGAAGTGTTATTTTGTCAGCATTCGTGTGAACAGTGCATAATACCACGATAATGAGTTCCCCAACTAACTGAGTAGCTGTCATTCAATTATTACCAAGCATTTTGTTAAACAAACCAAGGTACCATATACAGCATTACCAGCGAAAGTGTCATGGCATTTTCTAACATTACGTAAGTATAAGAGTTATCTACCTTGGAGCGACCCCTGCTGACAATTGACGTGCCTACCCAAGGATGCTTTAGACCAAATATGGTGTGCCCCTCTGCCCCAAGGGGGCCACACCTACCATTTATATAAAATTGAGTCCACTTGGCCAAAGGATGCTCCAGGCTTAATTAGAATAAAATCCCTTAATCCCTACGATAGAAGGATTTTAAAGGTTTTACCTCTATTTCCCCTATTGGGCTCCGCCCCTCTGCCCCAAGGGGTGCCACACCCACTATTTATACAAAATTGAGTCCCCTTGGCCCAATGATGCTCCAGACTAAATAAGAATATAATCCTTTAATCCCTAGGGTAGAAGAAGGATTTTTAACGTTTTACCTCTATTTCCTCTATTGGGTCCCGCCCCTCTGCTCTCCGGGGGGCCACACCCATATTTATACAAAATTGAATCCCCTAAGGATGCTCCAGACCAAATTTAGTCAAAATCTACGTGGCCGTTAAGGACTAATAGCGTTTTAAATGAAAAGTTGACAGACGGACGACGGACGCTGCGGTATGGCATAATTATAAGCTCACCATATGGTCCCTCAGACCAGGTGAGCTAAAAACCCAATGCCTCATTACAATTTTAGGCGAAGGGATCCTTAGATTTAAACAAAGGGATATAACTCTGAATATAGTGGGGCAGGAGACCTAATTCCAGTGCACTGCACACTTTCTGTTGGTGATGCAGTTATACTTTAAGTTTCATCAAGATATCTTTAAAGGTTTAAAATTTACTTGCCAGACAGGAATTTACTGAAAAAGTTGCACTTATTTGACCTTTGAGGGAAACCAATTTTGTATAAACCATGGGTCTGGCCCCCTTGGGGCCTGATCATGAGGAACGGGGCCCAATAGGGGAAATATAGCAAATTTTTTAAAATCCTTCTTCTTCTGTAGGAATGAAAGGATTTGGTCCATATTTGGTCTAAAGCATCCTTTGGTGAAGGGGATCAAATTTTGTATAAATCGTCGGGCCGGCCCCCCAGGGGCCTGAGGGGCGCAGCCCAATAGGGGAAACAGCAAATTATTCATTAAAATCCTTCTTCTTCTGTAGGAATGAAAGGATTTGTTCCATATTTGGTGTGGAACATCCTTGGGTAAAGGGGACTCAATTTTGTGTACGCAGTGGGTGTGGTCTTCCAGGGGGCAGAAGGGCACGGCCCAATAGGAGAAATAGAGTTAAAACCTTTAAAATCCTTTTTTGACCATCGGGATTAAGGGATTTTATATTGTTATTTAGTCTGGAGCATCCTTGGGCCAAGGGGACTCAATTTTGTATAATTGATGGGTATGACCCCTAGGGGCATAGGGGTGGGGCTCTGTTTGAAGCTTGTTCTCGCTATATCTCAAGTACTGGATGGATCTTTCTGAAATTTCATATGACAGCACCTACCATGGAGTGCTATAACTTTACTTCATACCAATTATTTTAAACATATTCAGGTGAGCGATACAGGCCCTCTGGGCCTCTTGTTCTAACTTAAGTCTTAATAACTTTTAAATCCCCTTCATATTTTTAGAAATTTGATTGTAAAGTGTTTAAAGATAATCAAATTCCTCAAAGATGTTAAAGTTTTCATGTAGGTTGCGAGGTCATTTTTGTAATATAATTGTTGTTATTGAGATGTGAAAGTGAAAATAACATTTCATATGAAACAATTATTCAATCTGCCGGCCTTACATTAACAGTTATGCCGATATTGTATTTTATCACAGACTATGTGATGCTTCTTCTTAAAGCATCATGCTTTGATTCAAGAGATCTGATTTTGTCCTTTTGTTGTTTCAGTTTTTGTTGAAGCATGCCATATGACACTGTAACAAGTGGAGTCCTTCTATGCAGACTGTCAATCTTTGCTGATTTTGACACAGACAGCCCATGATTGTGCTCCCTGTCCTGCAAGGCTTTTCGGAATGATGCACAACTTGCACCTTCTACCAGCAAATAACACTTCACTGACCGTACTTCAGAGTTATATAAAATGTCTCCCCGGCTGTTGTTGTAAAGAGGAGTTACAGCAGATTTTGGACGCTAAACGTAGCTTATATACAAAAGCTGTTATAACGACAGAACCAAACTTTGGGGCACACTGTCCGACAGAACCAAACTTTGGGGCACACCGTCTGACAGAACCGAACTTTGGGGCACACGTCCGTCTGACAGACCTGAACTTTATGGCATACTGTCTGACAGAACCAAACTTTGGGGCACACCGTTTGACAGAACCAAACTTTGGGGCACACTGTCCGCCAGAACCAAACTTTGGGGCACACCGTCTGACAGAACCGACCTTTGGGGCACACCGTCTGACAGAACCGAACTTTAGGGCACACCGTTTGACAGAACCAAACTTTGGGGCACTCCGTCTGACAGAACCGAACTTTGGGGCACACAGTCTGACAGACCTGAACTTTGGGGCACACTGTCTGACAGAACCGAACTTTTGGGGACACCGTCTGACAGAACCGAACTTTGGTGCACACCGTCTGACAGAACCTAACTTTGGGGCACACCGTCTGACAGAACCGAACTTTGGGGCACACTGTCTGACAGACCTGAACTTTGGGGCACACTGTCTGACAGAACTGAACTTTGGGGCACACGTACCGTTTGACAGAACCAAACTTTGGGGCACACCATCTGACAGAACCAAATTTTGGGGCACACCGTTTGACAGAACCAAACTTTGGGGCACACCGTCTGACAGAACCGAACTTTGGGGCACACCGTCTGACAGAACTGAACAGACATTAGATTCAGTTTTTTCCACAAGAACTTTTTGGCTACAATTATCTAGGAAATATTTTACCCAGTTAATAAGTCACTGGTGGTCCACTTCATCAAAGGCTTTTGAAAAATCCATAACGGCTATATCAGTTTGTTTCCCATCAGCTATAGGTTATCGAAGGTGTCAGTAGTGTCAAGGTGACAAGTTGGGATTTACAACTGTGTTTGGAGTGAAAGCCGTGCTGGAGAGGGGTGGAAGGTTATGACTATCTAGATGTGACATTATGATGTTAGATACGAGGATGTGTTCAAAGACATTGCTAAGTACAAATGTATATACATGTTTCGGCCCACTAGGATGGGCTGTCATCAGAACCAAGCTGATTTAGGTCGGCTCTACTAAAAACCGATTAACAACCATTTTAAGATTATTAATGCTACCACAGAATTAGATTAGGTTATCTAAGTCCTTGATGCTACAATTTCTGATCTATGGACTCGGTTGAAACCACACCTTACATAATGAAACACATATCCAGGAGTAAAATTATCATGTAAGTAATTATGTCTTATAAGTTATCAATAAGCAAGTTAAGTGGTTCCCTCAACCACGGACGCTATGGGTCACAGCACACATAAACAGTGCATATATGTGTATTTCAGATATTTCTATCGAACTCCTGTGTTTTGACCTAAACTATGGTGATACACGTTCGTGAGTGCGGGGGGGGGGGTAGATTCGTTTTCGGTAAAAATGCCACAAACTAACACCCCAAACGTGTAAATTACTCTGAACACCTTAGTTTATGTCCAAATATAGGTGTAATAAATTCGCAGGATCTGTAATGATATACAGTTAGGCTCCAAATGTTGGTACAATCTGCAACGGTGTACTGTGGGTTCGCTATACATTTTCGCATTTTGAGACATTTTGCTAGTATCGAATCTAGACAGAAGTAAAGCAAAAGAATGCTTACTTTAAACCTCGGCTGATGTCACGATTAAGGATTAAAGAAAGGTATCTTTTCAGCGATTTCAATTCTCTTTCTTCGTCGAAGCGGCGTTGTTGTTTTTTCTTTCAAATCACGTCTTTAATTCAAATCTCGCGTCGCGAGAACTGTCATATTTCTTCATTCTAATCTATTTCCATGATTTCTACGGACTTAGATAGCTAATACCGTGATATATGTATTGATATATCCAGAGACGAATAATAACATATGTTCATATAATAAATTATTCGAAATAAGGTATGTTTCCAGTTGTTTGTATACTGCCTTCTCAAGTATTTTTGATACAATGCAGAGAATACTGACTGGTCGATAGTTTTCAGAGGTTTTACTTTTGCCATTTTCATTCCTTCAGGGACTTTACGAATTGATATACCCAGAGACGAATAATACATGTATTATACGTCTCTGGATAAAGGGGTTCGACGCTTTACAGGAACGGGCAGGAACGGGCAGAAACGGGCAGAAATGGGCAGGAACGGGCAGAAACGGACAGAAACGGGCAGGAACGGGCAGCAATCTATTAATAATTATATACATTAATGAATATATATATTAGATACATTTAAGTATCATTATCGGGTATAAGATCTATTTGATAAAAGGATTGCAATTACATGATCGGGGCAGAATCGGACTAAATTATATATATACATTTATGACGATATTACTTATGATACCTACATTTATAGTATCATATATTTTTTT